TTTGACCCGGCCTTTACTAGAAAGCCCTCAGCTTCCTGGTGAATGACTGTCACCTCATCCACAACAACGTGTGTACGTCTGCCATCTTCATTGATCGCGCTGGCGAGTGGAAACTAGGAGGTTTGGATTACACGTGCTCGGCTCAGGGGGACGTCGCTGTGACACGGAAGGGGGTCCCCGAATTGGAAAAGTATGACCCTCCCGAGTGGCTAGACAGTAGCAAAAGCACGGGAGAGAAATGGTGAGTCTTTTTCTCCTTCATTTTCAAAGACTAATCAGGGCTTCTCAAATTGGGCATAGTAGTGGGCTCTTTAAAGTTCCTATAAGCTGAGAGAGCTGGGGTGGGCAGCCTCTCCCCAGGGAATATGCCACAGCACTGTTGCAAAAGGTGTCACGTTTCCTTTAAACAAGGTGTGTGCTTTCTGCGTGTCTTATCTACATACTTCCGGAAAGCTTCCGGGAATGTGGTTCTACTTGTAAATAAAGCACGGAGGGTATGAATGCCTTGCTTGAAAGAAAAAAGTAGCACTTCTTTGCTATGGTAGCAAGCGTGATGATGGGGACAGTAAGGGACCTGGCAGAGAGATGGAATATGACCTGTAGGCCACATAGCTTGCAGGTTGCATACGACCTGCAGACAACATGTTTTCTCCAGCTGTGCAAGAAGCATTGTCAAAGGAGGTTTTGCAGAGCGCAGGCCAGTTTGCCATGATGAAAGGTGGGGTTGAAACATCTGAAGAATAGTGAAAAATGGAGATATCTCTGTGACATCCTTAAAAGTCTGAGTTTTGAGAATTTCAGTTAGTAGGGGAAATTCAAGAACTGTGCTTAGGAAATAAATAAATCTAGGGTCATTCAACCATTTCAGAATAAATTTCTGAAACCCTCCTGTTGCTGTAAGAATACGTTCTGTTGTATTTTGGAGAACTACTAGATGAAATGAAAATAATGCAAAAGAAAGACTGCCGAAAGTTTGCTTACCGAACACTCTAATCAAGAAATGCAAAACAAAAGCAAAAAAAAAAAAAAAAGACTTTGTGGCACCTTAAAAACTAACTGCTACATTTAATGTTAGCTTTCATGGAACATGGTCCACTTCGTCAGACATCAGAGTCCAAATATGGAGACTAGTGGGTAAAATATTCATGCAAGACTAGTGGGTAAAATATTCATGCAAGACCAGTATTTGACAGCAGTATCTGGTTGCAGTTGAACTGGTTGCAAGTCCATTTCGCTTGGCTTTTGGAATTAATACAAGTGGTGTATTTGCATAACTTTAAGCTTTCGTGTTGAATCAAAAGTTCTTTGGCTAAAATTAAAACATTTTTAGAACAGACTGATATCTCCGCCAAGTGAGGAAAATGGTCTGTGCATCTAATCGATCAAAGTTTGGTTGTCAAAAGCTGTTGCTGTAATCAATCTGTTTTTAGACTGGTTTTGAAGACACCAAATGTGGTACTAACTCTAGGTTGGCCATAACAGATTAGACTTTTGAGTACATTAGAATTAGTGTTTTCTCTGAATTGTTAGATTGTTATGAGCCTCACTTGAAGTTGCAAAAAAAAAAAACACCCCCAAAAAAACACACATAAGAACAACAGCAACAATCTTTGAACTGCAGAGTTAACAGAAATTATAATAATACAGTAAAACTCTGTTTGGTGTTCCATGTTGCTTCTCTGTGTGCTATCTGTGCTTCTGTGTTCCAGGAAAATTGCTAACTGAATTGGCCCTGAACAGGGTCATTTTAACATGGTGCTGGTACAAAGCAGGTAAACCAGGCACCAGATTCTGCAGATGCTTGTTTTACCTTTCTCAGGTGCCCCCTTTAAGTAGACTGGGCTACCACCAAGCACTACAGAATGGCCACTCAAGTACAGTGGTGCCTCGCTTAATGGGCGCTCCGTTTGACGACAAAATCGCTAGTCGTCGATGTTTTTGTGATCGCAAAAGCGATTGCAAAACGATGTTCCCTATGGGGGAATTTCGCTTTGCGATGATTTTCGGCCAACTGATCAGCGATTTCAAAATGACCACCGGGTAAACAAAATGGCCGCCCACTCTTTTCTGGCACTGATTCCTCGTTGCACAGGCAGCTAAAATGGCTGCGCTATGGAGGATCTTCGCTGGACAGTGAGTTTCAAGCCCCTAGGAACGCATTAATCGGGTTTTAATGCGTTTCTATGGGCTTTTTAAAATTGCATTACAACGTTTTCATTTTACAGCGATTTCGCTGGAACGAATTAACGTCGTAATGCGAGGCACCACTGTACATGCGCTATAGTGAGTTATATTGCCGACAGGGTGTCTACATTTTTATTGATTGCTGTGAGAACTAGAGAGAAAATGTTGCGCTCACCTTGAAAGCAGTATTCATATACTCCATATAGTTCTTTCTGTATGTTCTGTTTTCTTATAATCTTGCTTGTCTGTGACCATTATAAAGAATGATGATGATGCCATAGTGAATCAGAGTGAAACAGGGCAGTGTTATGTGGGGCATTAGAATGTGACAGCTTCTATATTAGCACAAGAAATCATGCATGTGACTGGTATTTGACTGAGTACTTAAACCCTATGATTTTCTTACAAGATGATTTTGCTTCTTCCTCATTTCTAAAATAATTTCTTTATGGATTTTATGTATGAGCGTGCACTGAAGTTTAACCTGCTGCTTCACATTTTCATGACTGTGCCTGAAACACACGCAGTTGACGTTGACGACCCATTCCTCTGTCATGACAGGTCAGCTGACATGTGGCGCCTCGGCTGCTTGATCTGGGAAGTCTTCAATGGCCCCCTGCCCCGATCATCCTCCCTCAGGTCTCTTGGCAAGGTACCCAACAGGGAAGGAGAGTTAGCTGGTTATGTTCGCAAGGAACACAGGGGGATCCCCTCTGTTCTTTGACGTTGCCTAAAAGTACGTTGGTCTGATTTTAGTTTGATGATGGCTGTGGCTCCATTTTATTTCATAGGGCTTGTAGTTTGGAGATGAACTGCTTAGAATTCTCTGCAAGAGAGCCCCAATGCCTTTCTTGAACTGCAGGAAAGAATTCCAACGACTTCACCAAACTACAAGTCCCAGGATTCCATAGAGCGGAGCCATAACAGAGGTACACAAGAGGAGCTGGTTGAGTCGTACTGGGTTGCATGGCAGGGCTGGGAAAATCCCAGTCTCTGAATTTTGATGTTTCCTGACCATAGTGGGGAGCCCATCCCCATCAGGAAGGGGTGCTTCCCATTCTTTTAAGTTTTTCAGTGTGTTCTGTGAAGCTACAGTAGGAGACTCCATTAGAGAAGAAACGCTGGAGCCCTTCTAGGAAGCTACCATTCCTTTGTTATGTCCCAGGTCCTGCCAAGGCCAGGCCTGTCTCAATTTCAGGGATGCTGTCTCTTCCTTCCTTGTCCTCTAGATCCCCAAGTCCTTGGTCCCCCATTACTGTGAGCTGGTTGGTGCCAACCCCAAACTGCGGCCCAATCCTGCCAAGTTCTTGCAGAACTGCCGCAGTCCAGGTGGCTTCATGGACAACAGTTTCGTGGAGACCAACCTCTTTTTGGATGAGATCCAGGTGAGTGGAAGGGGAAGGCAGGATCTGTCCTGTAGGAGAGGGCCAAAGGCCTCTGCTTGGAACTAGGTCTTTGTCCAATGAGAAGGCTTTTTTAAAAAAAAAAAATTGCGACAGTGGTAGGATTGTTAACTTGGTGGTTTCTGGGAGCTGGCAGTCAGGAAAGAGTCGTCTTCGGCTTCTGAGAGCATGCAATGGGCTGTTCTACAAAGAGAGGGCTGATGTGATTCAATGATCTCTGTTTCTACTTAGATAAAGGAGCCTGCTGAAAGGCAGAAGTTCTTCCAGGAGCTCAGCACCAACCTGGATGCCTTTCCAGAGGACTTTTGCCGCCACAAGGTTCTTCCGCAGCTGCTTACGGCGTTTGAGTTTGGAAATGCTGGCGCCGTCATCCTCACCCCGCTTTTCAAGGTAAGCATGTACCGGGCGCAGAGAGAGCACATTCCCCCTGCAGTAACATTGTGACTATGAAGGTCCTCCGTCATCCTAAGGTCAGTGAGGGTATCTGGAAGCTGAGTCATGGCGACTGGAGTTCTTTCTTCTTAGGTTGAAACGTTTCGCGTCTCCTCCAAGCAACTTCTTTGGTCTGACATCATTGGGTGCTGATGTTATACGGCCCTGCGCAGTGAAAAAAGGGAACAGGTTGAGGAGCAGAGATAACAATGAGAGTAGCAGAGGGCTGGAATAGCGATTTTCCGTGGGAGGGAAAATGTGGTGGAATTTAAGAGGCAGCACATGCCTGTTTGCAGCCACAGGGCAGAAGACAGTCTCGGGTGGTTTGAAGGTTAGGATTTATTGGTTCAATGGGGAAAGTATGTGGGAGAACTCTGGCTTGATATTAAGCGTCTCTGGTTTTCACGTATGTACATAGTAGCCCAGAATATGGGAGGATGGATGATCTTGTCCTCGGTTGCGGGTGACACATCCTTTCACTTGATGATTTGTATTTAGAGTATAGGTTGCTCTATATGCGCCCTTTTTTCTTTCAGATTGATAGTAGAAGTGAGGCTAGGGGGCAGCAGAAAGAAGGGAGACTCGTAGACTTGGGGCAGAATCATTTGTGTGGGGTAATTACCTCAGACCTTTTCAGACTTAGGGACCCAAAGATAATTTGCCTCTGGAAATGGCTTCCCACCGATAGCGGGCCACAATAGGAGTAGTATTGCTTGTGGGAGTTGTAGTCCAAACACATTGGGTTCCCAAGCGGAAGGATGGGTAGGTCATGTGGACTGAATTCATTGGATATAGGATTCATTATTGCTGTTGTAAGGAGTTGTTTAGGCCTGCAGGATGGGAACAGGAGAGCTGACTTCTGTTCCTGCCGTATGATACCAGATGGGGCTTTTTTGACCCATCGCTTGAGTTGAGGCTTTGCCCTTCTTCCCAAAGGATATACCGTCAGTACAGCCAGTCTTGCTTCTCTTCCCCATACAA